TCTCCAAGCCACCAGTGCCCAACAGACTACTGAATACTTCCCATACTCATTTGTTTATTCACCAATTCAGAGCCCACCTTGTTTTCAGCACTGAGCTAGTCTCTCCTTGCTAGAAACTTATGGTCAAAGGTCTGTAGCCATCAGAAGAAGCACGTGGAGTGCCCTGTCTGTGTTGTGGTTATTCCTCTAGCATGCACAGAGTAAGGATTTCTCCTGTGCCTGGCATCATGCATTGAGTGGGGAGATGGGGGTTGGCATGCACACTGGGGGTTTGGGTGCTCTGCCTTATAGAGCAGGGAGGGAGGCAGGAGAGGAGAGGAGAGGCACAAGCATGGAGGGTGTCGCAGGGAACATGTCTCAGAAGTGCCATCTTTTTTTTTTCTTGAGATGGCATCTTGCTCTGTCACCCAGTCTGCAGTGTAGTGGCACAACCTCAGCTCACTGCAGCCTCCGCCTCCCAGGTTCAAGCAATTCTTATGCCTCAGCCCCCAGGTAACTGGAACCACAGGCACGCACTACCATACCTGGGAAATGTTTTGTATTTTTAGTAGAGACAGAGTTTTGCCATGTTGGCCAGGCCGGTCTTGAACTCCTGGCCTCAAGAGATCCACCCACCTCAGCCTCCCAGAGTGCTGGGATTACAGGCTTGAGCCACTACACCCAGCCTAGAAGTGCCATCTGAACTGAACGTGAAAGATGAACCTTCTCCAGATAAACCTGAAAGTTCTCCAAATGAAAAGGTAGGAGGGGGTGATAGGGTTAGGCCCAGAGCTGCTGGTCACACGGGGTGGGCATCATTGGTCACACTGGTGATAAGGTAGGAGCTATAACCATGTTGATAGTGTCACCTCTTTCCATCTGTGCTGGCATACCCTAAGCACTCCATGCCCACCTCTGGAACACATCAGCCCTGAGAGCCCAGCTCAGGCCTTTCTCCTCCAGCCCACCCACTTCTAATTATCCACACCCCTGTGCTTCCACTGTGCCTCGAACAAGCTTTCTTTAGGGGAAGGGAGCTGGAACTATGTTGTTGTTACCTATTTGTTCCCTCTTCCAAACTGTGAGCCTTGGAGGTAGAAGGATGCAGGGTCTAGCCCAGGATGAAGGCAGTTGGACAGACATGCATGTTTGTGACTCAGTGATCTCGAACTTCCATTTTTTTTCCCATCTGTAACACTCAAGAGTTGAATAGGTAGTTTTTCTGAGGTTACTTCAACTCTTAAAATGTATGAACTTACGAACTAGGTATTTAGTTCTCCTCATAATCAAGATTGTGTGTGGCAGGGGTCTGATTAGAGGGAGGATGAGGAGGGGGGTATGGTTTTGGGCTTTTGTTGTGTTTTGTTTTGTTGGTTTTTTTGAGATGGAGTCTCACTCTGTCTCCCAGGCTAGAGTGCAGTGGCGCGATCTCAGCTTACTGCAACCTCTACCTCCTGGGTTCAAGTAATTCTCTTGTCTCAGCCTGCAGAGTAGCTGGGATTACAGGCACCCACCACCATGCCCAGCTAATTTTTGTATTTTTAGTAGAGATGGAGTTTTGCCGTGTTGGCCAGGCTGGTCTCAATCTCCTGACCTCAAGTGATCCATCAACCTTGGCCTCCCAAAGTGCTGGGATTACAGGAGTGAGCCACCGTGCCCGGCCTGCCCCTCAGTCTTTTCCTTCTCAATCAGTGGCACCACCATCTTCCCAGGCTTTGGAAATGGTCCCTGACTCACCTCTGCCCCGCACCCCCACACCAATCCACCAGCGAGCTCTATTGCTTCACCACCTGGACCAGCCCCACATCCTCAACTGCTCCTACCCTAGGCCACGCCTGGACCACAGCTAGCGGCCTCTCATGGATTCTCGCTGTTTTTCTCTTGCACTCCCTGGGCTTTCTGGCACAAGATGCCCCAGAACCAGAATCACATGCCTCTCCTAGGAGCCAATTCAGTGGGTTTACTGTCCCTGGAGTGTCATTGTTGGCCTTAGACTATGTCCGAGTGCAGGTTTCCAGAGCAATGTAGTCAAAAGTTACTTGAAATAAATATTTGCTCTGTGGTATTGACAATTTGGTATAGAATTAAACTTGTTTGGCTGGGCGCAATGGCTAACACCTGTAATCCCAGCACTTTGGGAGGCCAGGGCGGGTGGATCATGAGGTCGGGAGTTCAAGACCAGCCTGGCCAAGATGGTGAAACCCTGTTTCTACCAAAAATACAAAAATTAGCTGGTTGTGGTGGCAGGCGCCTGTAATCCCAGCTACTCGGGAAGCTGAGGCAGGAGAATGACTTGAACCTGGGAGGTGGAGGTTGCAGTGAGCTGAGATCGTGCCATTACATTCCAGCCTGGGCAACAAAGCAAGACTGTCTCAAAAAAAAGAAAAAGGAGACAGGGTCTCACTCTGTCACTCAGGCTGGAGTGCGGTGATGTAGCCTCAGACTTCGGGCTCAAGTAATCCTTTTGCCTCAGTCTCCCAGAATGCTGGGACTGTAGGCTGAAGCCACCATGCCTGGCCCAAGCTCATTTGTTTGTATTTGCATTCAGTGTAATGAGGTTTTGTTACTTTTTGAATTTTATTTGGGGTAATATAAACTTTTACATGATTCAGAAGTCAGAATGACACTGATTCAGCTAGGTCTCACTCCTGTACCTGTACCCTCATCTTGTTCCCACTGCCCCATGCAGGGAGCCAATTTCATTAGTTCCTGGTGTGTCCTTCCTTAATCCCCCTTTCTTACCTCGGTATCATGCAGTAGATATGTTTGCACTTTGCTCCTTTTGCTTCACAGCGGATCCTGGAAATCGCTCCATCACAGCGTTTAGAACTCTTGTTTAGTCCCTTTGGAGCTGGGCAGTACTCCAGTGTGTGGGTGTACCATAGTTTATTCAATAAGTGCCCTGGTGATAGGGATCTGAGGGGTTGTAGCGTTTGGCTGGTAAAAATAATGCTGTAGCAAATAATGTCATGCATATGTTCTTTGAGATTTTTGGAGGTGTCTCTTAGCATAGATTTCTAGAAGGCATTCCTTAGGTCATATTTAGGTTTATACTTTGACCTCATGGTGATTAGGGTATTTGGGAATGCAAATGAGAGTTTTAAAGAAGCCAGATCTTTCCCAGTGGCTCACTGTTTTTCTCTGACATCAGGACCGTCCAGGTTCCAAGGAACAGCTGTGGCATTAGGCAGTGCCATGATGGATTGTGTGGAAGTACTGATTCCTGTCTGTCTGCTCTCTTGGCCTTCTCTCCATTCTTTATGGGGAACTGCCTGGGGGGGCCATTCTCAAAGGCTGATCTTGGATGGGCCACAGGCCATACTTAGCTCCCCAGTGTTCTTTGTCATTTCACATTGAGAGCTCTGTGCTGGAACAGATTAGGGGCCCCCACTTTACAGCAAGAAAGACTGCTCTGTGGGTTGTAGGATGCCTCTTAATATGCAGTGACTCGGCAGCTACACCCTGGGCCCTAAACTGCTGGAGGAAGATACAGGATTGGGAGGAACTCAGGGAGGAGTTATAGTGGGGACAAGACATTCCCTCACTCTAAGACCTTGTGGCTAGATTGGAGCTGCTGTTGCCTCCTTATACCTGACCTGACGGTTCTGGAGAGGTATGTCCTTGTAGCTTCTGAGTCCCAGTGCTAACCAGCCTTCAGAAACTTCCCTACATCATTTGAGTCCTGGTTTCCCAAGTATGCTTGCCAGTGTGTGCCATGGTACCCTCACTGAACAGTCTGTGCAGTGTAGACAAGAGGGAAAGTCTCTTGGGGTAGACCAACCACAAGATGGTGACCAGCACTGATGAACCACATGGGACAGGGGAGTTGTGGGGCTGAGAACCCGGAGGGCAGGAGTAGACAGGCTCTTTTCCAGAATGAACGCTAATGAAGGGACTCGCAGGTGGCTGCTGCTTTCTAAGCTGCCCCGGTTGTTGCTGAGGCTCTGAAGTCCTAGGGGGTTTCATGGTGGCATACTAGACAGGTTAGCAAAGCATCATGGCCAGACACTGATTCTGGGGCCTGGGGCTTTACGGTGGCCATTTCTGAAGAGACCCTACCAGGCCAAAGTGATGTGCAGAAAAGAGAGCTGCTTCTGTCACCAGAAAAGAATGGGAGGACTCCCACCCTAGAATAGGAAGGGTGCCCTTCTGCACCAGCAGGAAGGGGACACATTGCTCTGCCTGGACCACACCTTTTTCCTTGCTCTTCCCTCTGCATCTGTTGTGGCTGAGGCCATTCCTTGTCAGGAAACGTCTTATGTTAAAGGCTCGCGCCACCTAGGAGCACTTCTCTTATCACCCCAGAACTCTGGGTGGCAGTTTCTTGTGGCCTGAGTTAGCCGTTATTTATATAGTGCCATTGTGCCTTTTCTCCCATGATGCTCACAGTAAGGATGCCCAGATGGGTTTACCCATTGTCAAGATAAGGAAACGGAGGCACAGAAGGCTGAGGTCGTTTGCTGGGGTTCATGTTTGGAAAGTGGCAAAGGATTTGAGTGCAGTTTGGCTGGCTCCAAACCTGTGCTTTCCCTAACACTACTGTGTGCCTCATTGAATATTTGTTCTAGAAAACCAAAAAGACGCCCAAGCCCTGGCCTTCACAAAGGAGACCCCGACCCCCATTTGACTCCCTTTCCAGCATTCGAAGGCCTCTTGTCAGGCATCGAGCCCAGAGGCCCCTGAGGTGCGACTCATGCTAGGGTGGGATGCTCAGGAGCCACGCAGTGTTTCCGCTCAGAGGAAAGGACTCCAACTCTTTTGCAATGCCAGGAGTGAGACTTGCAGGTGGCCACAGTGCAGGTCAGCCATGCCGGCAAGCACCACCAGGGCCCGAGTTCCTAAAAAAATAGTTGGGTCCCAGCTTGGCCGGAGGCCCTGTTGTCCTGGGGAAGGACATCAAGATCTGAGTGTATGATGGCCTGGGGCCTTGCATGTGGTGGGGGTCCAAGCCTGCCTCTGCTCATTTATTCTGCAGACTGGCATGTTCTTTGTGATACTTACATACTTGTTTAACACTTCAGGGAAGAAAAGTCAGAAGACCAGGATCTCCAGGGCCTCAAGGACAAGCCCCTCAAGTTCAAAAAGGTGAAGAAAGATAAGAAAGAAGACAAAGAGGGCAAGCATGAGCCCGTGCAGCCATCAGCGCACCACTCTGCCGAGCCCGCAGAGGCAGGCAAAGCGGAGACGTCAGAAGGGTCGGGCTCCGCCCCAGCCGTGCCAGAAGCTTCTGCCTCCCCCAAACAGCGGCGCTCCATCATCCGTGACCGGGGACCCATGTATGATGACCCCACCCTACCTGAAGGCTGGACACGGAAGCTTAAGCAAAGGAAATCTGGCCGCTCTGCTGGGAAGTATGATGTGTATTTGATTAAGTAAGTAAGAGCAACTCCTGTCTCTACAGGGCAGGGAGGGCAGAGACAGGGATCTCATGCAGCAGGAAAATGTATGTGCCTAACCCCACAACGGGGGCGGCGCGGGGGGACCATAAACAATGAACACCAAGACCAGGTATGCTTGAAATGGCTGTGCGCAGAAGTCAATGTCCTCTGTCCTCTCCACACCTCGAGTCCTTGTCTGGAGTTGGAATAGCTGCGGAAGCAGAGAAACTTGCAGAGCCAGGGCTTCTGAGGAGGAATGAAGAAGCATGTTTCTGTTGTGCCCCTTAAATGATCCCAAAAAGGTTAGCAGTTTTCACATGACATTGGAAGATAGCCTCATTTAATTCCATAACCCTGAGAAGAGTGAGCAAAGGATTATCTTGTTGAAACTGATTCCCAGCCAGGCGCGGTGGCTCACGCCTGTAATCCCACACTTTGGGAGGCTGAGGCGGGTGGATCACGAGGTCGAGATCGAGACCATCCTGGTCAACATGGTGAAACCCCGTCTCTGCTAAAAATACAAAAAATTAGCTGGGCATGGTGGCGCGTGCCTGTAATCCCAGCTACTCAGGAGGCTGAGGCAGGAGAATTGCCTGAACCCAGGAGGCAGAGGTTGCAGTGAGCCGAGGTCGCGCCATTGCACTCCAGCCTGGGTAACAAGAGTGAAACTCCGTCTCAAAAAAAAAAAAAAAGGAAACTGATTCCCAGAGAGTCTGAGCACCATACCCAAGTTCAGAATTAGGAATGTTGTTGATGGTGACTCAGGCCCAGGAATGTTCCACATGGTGACTCAGGCCCAGGCACCAAGCAGCAGAATGGGCCTCAGTCTAACAGCCCCTCTGTACCAGGCCTGACTCTTTGGTTGCTGGACTTTGGAGAGGCCTGGGGAGTCAGGGACAGGCAGACGAGCGAGTGGCTTTGGTGATAGACAGATCCTCAGGGGCAGCCAGGCAGTGTGACTCTTGTTCAATAGTAACATTTATCAGAGTGTTGTCACCACCATCCGCTCTGCCCTATCTCTGACATTGCCATGGGGAGCCTCTAATTGTTTTTTTGTGTCTTTCCATTTGTCCTCACAGTCCCCAGGGAAAAGCCTTTCGCTCTAAAGTGGAATTGATTGCATACTTCGAAAAGGTAGGCGACACATCCCTGGACCCTAATGATTTTGACTTCACGGTAACTGGGAGAGGGAGCCCCTCCCGGCGAGAGCAGAAACCACCTAAGAAGCCCAAATCTCCCAAAGCTCCAGGAACTGGCAGAGGCCGGGGATGCCCCAAAGGGAGCGGCACCACGAGACCCAAGGCGGCCACGTCAGAGGGTGTGCAGGTGAAAAGGGTCCTGGAGAAAAGCCCTGGGAAGCTCCTCGTCAAGATGCCTTTCCAAACTTCGCCAGGGGGCAAGGCTCAGGGAGGTGGGGCCCCCACATCCACCCAGGTTATGGTGATCAAACGCCCCGGCAGGAAGCAAGAAGCCGAGGCCGACCCTCAGGCCATTCCCAAGAAACAGGGCCGAAAGCCGGGGAGTGTGGTGGCAGCCGCTGCCGCCGAGGCCAAAAAGAAAGCCGTGAAGGAGTCTTCTATCCGATCTGTGCAGGAGACCGTACTCCCTGACCCCATCAAGAAGCGCAAGACCCGGGAGACGGTCAGCATTGAGGTCAAGGAAGTGGTGAAGCCCCTGCTGGTGTCTACACTTGGTGAGAAGAGCGGGAAGGGACTGAAGACCTGTAAGAGCCCCGGGCGGAAAAGCAAGGAGAGCAGCCCCAAGGGGCGCAGCAGCAGCGCCTCCTCGCCCCCCAAGAAGGAGCACCACCACCATCACCACCACTCAGAGTCCCCAAAGGCCCCCGTGCCACTGCTCCCACCCCTGCCCCCACCCCCACCTGAGCCCGAGCGCTCCGAGGACCCCACCAGCCCCCCTGAGCCCCAGGACTTGAGCAGCAGCGTCTGCAAAGAGGAGAAGATGCCTAGAGGAGGCTCGCTGGAGAGCGACGGCTGCCCCAAGTAGCCAGCTAAGACTCAGCCCGCGGTCGCTACCGCCGCCACGGCCGCAGAAAAGTACAAACACCGAGGGGAGGGAGAGCGCAAAGACATTGTTTCATCCTCCATGCCAAGGCCAAACAGAGAGGAGCCTGTGGACAGCCAGACGCCCGTGACCGAGAGAGTTAGCTGACTTTACGCAGAGCGGATTGCAAAGCAAACCAACAAGAATAATGGCAGCTGTTGTCTCTTCTCCTTATGGGTACGGCTCTGACAAAGCTTCCTGATTAACTGAAATAAAAAATATTTTTTTTTCTTTCAGTAAACTTAGAGTTTCGTGGCTTCAGGGTGGGAGTAGTTGGAGCATTGGGGATGTTTTTCTTACCGACAAGCACAGTCAGGTTGAAGACCTAACCAGGGCCAGAAGTAGCTTTGCACTTTTCTAAACTAGGCTCCTTCAACAAGGCTTGCTGCAGATACTACTGACCAGACAAGCTGTTGACCAGGCACCTCCCCTCCCGCCCAAACCTTTCCCCCATGTGGTCGTTAGAGACAGCAGTTGAGAGGACACTCCCTTTTTCGGTGCCATCAGTGCCCCATCTACAGCTCCCCCCACCTCCCCTACTCCCAGCCATGTTGGGACAGGGAGGTGTGAGGCAGGAGAGACAGTTGGATTGCTTAGAGAAGATGGATATGACCAGTGGCTATGGCCTGTGCGATCCCACCTGTGGTGGCTCAAGTCTGGCCCCACACCAGCCCCAATCCAAAACTGGCAAGGACACTTCACAGGAAAGGAAAGTGGTACCTGTCTGCTCCAGCTCTGGCATGGCTAGGAGGGAGTCATCCCTTGAACTACTGGGTGTAGACTGGCCTAAACCACAGGAGAGGATGGCCCAGGGTGAGGTGGCATCGTCCATTCTCAAGGGACGTCCTCCAGTGGGTGGCTCTAGAGAGGCCATGGAGGCAGTAGGACAAGGTGCAGGCAGGCTGGCCCGGGTCGGGCGAGGCCGAGCACAGCGGGCTGAGAGAGATTCCTAATCTCTCAGAGCAGTCTGTGACTGATAGTTAGGGACTTAGTGGACAGGGGAGGGGGTAAGGGGGGAGGAGAAGAAAATGTTTCAGTTACTTTCCAATTCTACTCCTTTAGGGACAGCTTAGAATTATTTGCACTATTGAATCTTCATGTTCCCACTTCAAAACAAACAGATGCTCTGAGAGCAAACTGGCTTGAATTGGTGACATTTGGTCCCTCAAGCCACCAGATGTGATGGCGTTGAGAACTACCTGGATTTGTATATATATACCTGCGCTTGTTTTAAAGTGGGCTCAGCACATAGGGTTCCCACGAAGCTCCGAAACTCTAAGTGTTTGCTGCAATTTTATAAGGACTTCCTGATTGGTTTCTCTTCTCCCCTTCCATTTCTGCCTTTTGTTCATTTCATCCTTTCACTTCTTTCCCTTCCTCCTCCTAGTTCATTCCTTCTGTTCCAGGCAGCCACAGTGCCCAACCACACTTGTCAGCTCCAGTCCCTAGAACTCTGCCTGCCCTTTGTCTTCCTGCTGCCAGTACCAGCCCCACCCTGTTTTGAGCCCTAAGGAGGCCTTGGGCTCCACCGAGTCTGACCTGGCCTGTCTATGAAGAGCAAGAGAGCAGCAAGGTCTTGCTCTCCTAGGTAGCCCCCACTTTCCTGGTAAGAAAAAGCAAAAGGCATTTCCCACCCTGAACAATGAGCCTTTTCATCCTTCTACTCTAGATAAGTGGACTGGAGGAACTGGGCCAGATTTGGTAGCTGAGGAAAGCGCAGAGGCCCCCTATGGCCTGCCAGTCATCGAGTAGCCCAACAGGGGCTCCGTGCCACCCAACCTTGACCTCACTCAAGTCCAGAGTCTAGCGTAGTATACAGCACGGCAGCAGCGGTACCGATGCAGAACTCTTGAGACCAGAGCTGGGACCAGCACCTAGGTCCCTGTCCCTTCTCTGCTCCCCCTTTTCCCTCAGAGTTCTTTTCTAATGGAAATGTTTTGCTTTTGCTTAATGCAGTGGGGCCAGAACACCACACATTTCACTATCTGTTCCATAGGTGTGGTGTAGGGGCTTAGAGGCGTGGGCTTGCTGTGGGTTTTCAATTGATCAGTTTTCATTTGGGATCCCATCTTTTTAACCTCTGTTCAGGAAGTCCTTATCTAGCTGCATATCTTCATCATATTGGTATATCCTTTTCTGTGTTTACAGAGATGTCTCTTATATCTAAATCTGTCCAACTGAGAAGTACCTTATCAAAGTAGCAAATGAGACAGCAGTCTTATGCTTCCAGAAACACCCACAGGCATGTCCCATGTGAGCTGCTGCCATGAACTGTCAAGTGCGTGTTGTCTCGTGTATTTCAGTTACTGTCCCCTGGCTTCCTTACTGCGGTGTAATCATGAAGGAGTGAAACATCATAGAAACTGTCTAGCACTTCCTTGCCAGTCTGTAGTGATCAGGAACCATAGTTGACAGTTCCAATCAGTAGCTTAAGAAAAAAAAATGTGTGTGTCTCTTCTGGAATGGTTAGAAGTGAGGGAGTTTGCCCCATTCTGTTTGTAGAGTCTCAAAGTTGGACTTTCAAGCATTTATGTATCCATTTCCTTATGCTGTAAAACAAGTCCTGCAACCAAACTCCCATCAGCCCAATCCCTGATCCCTGATCCCTTCCACCTGCTCTGCTGCGGAACCCTCCTCCACCCCCACAGCTTCACTTCTGACTCTTCCCCAGGAAGGGAAGAGGAGTCGGAGGAGAGGGTGAGTCCTCTAGACTCTTCCTCCAAGGACAAAAGGCTCCTGCCCCCACAGTGGCCTCACACTCCTGGCACCACCAAAGGACACTTATCCACAAGAGTGCAGCATCCAACCAGGTTGTCACTGAGAAGATGTTTATTTTGGTCAGTTGGGTTTTTATGCATTATTCTTAGTCCAATGAAATGTGGCTTCTGGACTCAGTGTCAGGAGCTGCTTCCCCATCAGCTGGGTGTCATCTGGTCCTGGTAAGAGGAGTGTGGGGCCCACCAGGCCTTCTTGTCACCCATGATAGTTCATTCAGGGCCAATTGGGCAGTCATGGTTGGAAACACAGCATTTCAAGTGTCACTTACTTTCATTCGGGCCCCACCTACAGCTCCCTCGCTCCCCAGCTGCTTTCCCTTCAAGTTTGTTCCAGAGCTGCCAGTGGGGCCTGAGGCTCCTTAGGGTTTTCTCTCTGTTTCCCCCTTTCTTCCTCATTCCCTCTTCTTTCCCAAATAAAGGTATCACAAGTCAGTCACCTTTCAGCAGACTGCCTTGGTGGTTTATCGCCCTGGCAGGCAGGGGCCCTGCAGCTCCCACGCTGCCCCTGCCTTGGGGTCAGGTTGACAGGCGGTTGGAGGGAAAGCCTTAAGCTGCAGGATTCTCACCAGCTGTGTCCGGCCCAGTTTTGGGGTGTGACCTCAATTTTGTCTGTACTTGAACACTATGAAGATGGGGGCCTCTTTTGATGAATTTGTGAAAATAGAAGAATTGACCGACAGCTTTCCAGTACCTGTGGGGCTAGGTCATTAATGTCAGACCCACAGTATCCCCCACTGTTGTTCCAGTTGTTAGTTACTACCTCCTCTCCTGACAATACTGTATGTCCTCGAGCTCCCCCAGGTCTACCCCTCCCAGCCCTGCCTGGTGGTGGGCTTGTCATAGCCAGTGGGATCGCCAGCCTTGACAGCTCAGTGAGCTGGAGATACTTGGTCACGGCACTAGCACAGTTCCCTTCTGCTGATGATGTATTCCCGTATCAAAAGGCACAGGGGACACCCAGAAATGCCACATCCCCCAGTCCATCAGTGCCAAACTAGCCAAGGGCCCTAGCCTCTCAGCTCACTGGATGGCAGAAGCTGCGACTTGTGAGAGCCGATGTGGTGCAGACAATCGTCTGTTGAGTGGCATCATTCCAGGCCTGAGGCATGAACAGTGCAGTGCGCCAGGGACAGGGAGCAGCTCCTAATTGTCACCTGCTTCTCTGTCCAGCTTTTCATTGCTGTGACAGTGATGGCAAAAGAGTAATAACCAGACACAAACTGCCAAGTTTGGTGGAGAAAGGAGTTTCTTTAGCTGACAACCTCTGAATGTTGAATCACTTAGTAAGCGGCTCAAGCCCAGGAGGGAGCAAAAGGATATCAGCGGAGTCCCCTGGGTGGGACCATCTGGATTTTGTTTAGCCCAAGTGGAGCCTGACAGCCAGAACTCTGTATCCCCCTCTAACCACAGCTCCTTTTCCAGAGCATTCCAGTCAGTTTCTCTGGGCTGACTGGGCCAGGGTGGTCACAGGTACCAGTTCTTTGAGAAGACCGTTGGGATCCGTTTTTAGCCTGTCATTGCCCCAAATGGATTCCTGTTTCAAGTTCACACCTGCAGATTCTAGGACCCATGTCCTAGACTTCGGGGAGTGAGCTGTTTCTAGAGCCTCTGCCCTGGAGGGGATCTGGAGGACCTGCCCATTGGGGGACAGAGCCCTGCTCCCTCCATATCTTCCTGCTCTTCTTTCTGCTCTGCTCTGAAGGGATTTGTTTATTCTCTGCATTTTGGTGTCTTTCTCTTTTAGATATTGTATCAGTCTTCAGAAAAGGCATCGTCTACTTGTTATAAATCACTAGGATACTGCCTCCCCCAGGGTCTAAAATTACATATTAGAGGGGAAAAGCTGAACACTGAAGTCAGTTGTCAACAATTTAGAAGGAAAACCTAGAAAACATTTGGCAGAAAGTTACATTTCAATTTTTTTGAATGAATTAAGAGCAAGCTTTTACAAAAATGCCGATCTAAAAATACTTAGCACTTGGCCTGAGATGTCTGATGAGCATCACAGGTAAGGGGGATCTGAGGAGGTGAAAACAGGGCTCCCTGAGACTCGACCATTTTGTCATTGGAGAGCCAGTATCTCCTTGAGTAGCAGACCTGAGGACATGGCTTCTGACCCTGTCCTTTGGGAGTGGTATGAAAGGTGGAGCATTCACTGGTGACCCGGAAAGCCCAGCACCACCCTACTTCTGCTCTTCTCATCTTGACAGAGCCTGCCCCAGCGCTGATGTGTCAGGAAAACACCCAGGGAACTAGGAAGGCGCTTCTGCCTGAGGGGCAGCCTGCCCTGCCCACTCCTGCTCTGCTCGCCTCAGATCGCAGGCCTTGGCAAAGTGGCTGCATGGTGGGCTTCTGGCGCTCCCTTCTGAGCTGGCCTCTCACTGCCTCCCCAAGGCCCCCTGCCCGCCCTGTCAGGAGGCAGAGGGAGGCAGATGTGAGGGCAGGGCAAGGAGGAAGCGCAGCC